ACACACACACACACACACACACACACACACACACACACACGCACACCAAAAAAATCAGAGTGCTTCCTTGTTTCATTGTACAGTCCTGTGGTTGCCTGGGTACTGTGCTTCTCTTTGGAGCAGTCTCTGCTGAGGTGATCCTCTCCTGCAGGTGACTGATTAGAGAGCAACGCAAGATCAGAGAGAGAAGGCAGGAGTACAGGACAGTCTACTTAGAAGAAGGAACGAGGGGCTGGAGAGCCGGCTCAGCAGTTAAGAGCACTCCTGCAGAGGACCCAGGTTCAATTTCCAGCACCCATATGGTGGCTGACAACCATCTATAATTCCAGTTCCAGAGGATCTGACACCATCTTCTGACCTCTGAGGGCACTGCACGACACAGGTGCACTTACATACAGGCAGGCAATACACTCATATATATAAGATAAAAATAATTAAAAAAAAAAATAGAAGGAACGAGAATGCCTAAGAAGGCCTCTGCTCTGCAAGTATCATGGTACAGAAACAAAACATGGTGACTCAGCACGGGGTAAACCACACCACGCCACCTCTTAACTGCATTTTTTCTTTTGGATACATAGGACAAGTCCACACAACACTGAGAAACTTTACTTTGGCCAGTCTGTGTGAGCTCAGGAATATATTTCAGGATCTCAACTGAGGCCAGTGTAGCTCATTGGTAAAGTGCTTGTCTGTCAAGCAGGAAGACCTGAATTCGAGCTCCAGAACCTAAGAGAAAAACAAAAACAAAAACCCAGTTGTGATTCACACTTGTAATCCTAGTGCCCTGAGGTGGACACTGGCCAACCAGGCTAAGTCTACTTGGTTAGTTCCAGACCAGTGAGAGACTGCTTCAAAACTAAAACAGACTGTGCCCTGGGAACAACACCAGAGTCCTCTGACCCCACACATGGATGCAAGCACACACAGAGACGTGCTAAAAATTAATTAAGGCTGGAGATAGTGACACATACCTCTAATCCTAGCACTTTGGAGGCAGAGACAGGCAGATCTCTGTGAGTTCCAAGCCAGCCTGATCTACATAGCGAGTTCCAGGCCAGCTGGGACTACAGGGTGACCCTGTATCTAAAAGACCAAAATTAATTAATTAACTAATTAATTAAAATACAAGGGGATTTTTTAAAACCAGTTGCTATTTTGTAATTTTGTTTAAGGAAGCAACCTGTTCCTTTGCATACTTTGAATTAGATTCTTGCTCATCATCATGTATTGTAACTAGTCATTAGCTGCTGACTTGAAATAAAGCAATGGGCTGAGGAGATGGCTCAGTGAGTGGAGCACTTGCTGCTCAAGCTGAAAATGGGAGTTCGGATCCCCAGCACCCAGGTAAAAGCTGGACGGATACTGCAGCCTGTCTGTAATCCCAGCCTTTGGAGATGGAGACAGGATCCCAGGACCAACCTGGCTAGTGAACTGGCTGAAACAGCAAGTTCCAGGTTAAATGAGATACTCTGCAACATATAAGATGGACATGGATAGAGGAAGACAATCTGATATCAACCTCGGGCCTTCATACACATATAAATACACGGATGTGTACCTGTACACATATCACACATACCTGTGAAAAAGAAAAAGAGGACTGGCATGATGTCTCAGCAGATAAAGGCACCTGCCACCCAAGTCTAGCAACCTGAGTTCAACCCTCAGAAGCCACCTAAATGTAGAGAGGGGCTGGAGAGATGGCTCAGCGGTTAAGAACAGTGGCTGCTCTTATTGAGGGCCAAAGTTCGGTTCCCAGCACTCTGGGATTCCCAGCATGGCTAACAACCATCTTTAACTCCAGTTCCAGGGGATTTGATATCCTCTCCTGACCTCCTCAGGCATTGTACAACATGGGTACACTTCCATACATGCAGGCAATACACTCACAGAAGAATAAAAATAATAAAATATTTCTTAAAGGTGGTAAGAACCGGGCATTTAATCCCAACACTCAGGAGGCAGAGGCAGGTGGCTCACTGTGAGTTCAAGGCTTGCCTGGTCTACATAATGAGTTCCAGGCCGGTTGGGGCTACAGGGAGACCCTGTCTCAAAAAGACATAAAATAAAATAATAAAAAAGTGGAAAGAGAAAGCTGACTCCACAAAGTTGTCCTCTGATCTACACACATGTTCTGTGGCATGTACCTCTCTCTGTCTCTCTGTCTTTCTCTTTCACACACACACACACACACACACACACACACACACGCACGCACAATGAAATAAAAAAAGAAATGATAACTTCCCTGATGTGGGGGGCTAATTGTGTTATCTCTGACAGTCTCCACCCCTCCACCCTCACTACAGGCTAAGCCCAGCCTGGGTGTCACTTCCAGCATGTGGTTGCAATTCATCCCTTGCAATCTGTCACCTGAAATTATTTGCTCATATGGCAGTCATAAAAAATATGGAGAATGTAAAGATTTTATGCATTCTGTCCAAACAGCATATCTAAAATCAGTTGGTTTATTTCCTGCAGTCTTTCAAGTTGACCAAAACACTCACTGATTTTGCTCTATTTTCTTACATTTTTAGTATTTCTGTGTACATGCACTAAAAAGCCCCACTCAGAAAAAAATTTAAAAACATCCCTGCCATTCTGAGAAAAAGCTTACCCTAAACATCTAAAAATAGTGTCTCTAATTATTGTCTACATTGTGTGTCCGCTGTGCAGGCTCCAGTACTGTTCTTGCTTTACCAGCTGTGGCTAGGTGCAGCCGTTACATCAAATGATTCTAATTTTACAAAAAGAAATCAAAACAAATGTGCGTTTAAGTTCCAGTGACAAACTCAAACCCTGTGAGTCAAACAGGCAAACTGATTAGCAAGCCGGCCGGGAAGTCAAAACAGTAGAAATAAAGGAGATTCACAAGCCAGATCTGTAAGATGAGGGCAGTAAAAATAGAAGCCAGGGCTCAAGTGGGGTCTGGTGGGCGGTCTTGGTGGCATACAAGGTTCTGTGCCAAGAACCAGATGTCCGCCTTATGGTTCCCAATCTTCTCCTTCAGTCCCCTCCCACCAAGACTTGAGACAGCAGAGCTGTGCTTAAGTGCAGAAATGTTTCTCTTTTTAAAAATATATTTTCATTCTATGTGTATGAGTGTTTTGCCTGTGTGTATATATGTGTACCCAGTGTGTGCAATGCCCACAGAAGCCAGAAGAGGGCAACTCTGGAACTGGAGTTACAGAAACCCATCCCCCAGAACCGGTTTTACTTCTGGTTAAGACTGGTTAAGATGGGGGTTAGCTGCTATGTGGATGCTGGGAACCAAACCCAGGTCCTCTGCCAGAGTAGCCAGTGCTCTTAAATACTGAGCAATCCCTCCAGCCCCAGAAATACTTCTTTAAAACCTCAGGAATAACAACCTTTCCTTCATTTGACTCCTTGCATGACACTCACTACCTTGCAAGATGCATTACAGGCATAGTTCTTTGTCTTTAGCCATGGCTTTTAAATAGACTAAGTAAATCTGTATTAATTAAGCATGTTCTACTAAGCACCTCTCTGAATTAGGCTTCAAACCAACCCAGTGCCATGACCATGTTTTACAGAAAAGAAAATCCAGATCCAGAGAGGTTCTGAGATTTGTTCAGGTTGTATAGCTAGGAAGTATGTGGCACAGCTGGGGTTCAATCAGGCTTTCCCAACTGATCCCGAGCCGTCAACCACCGTGCTGTAGCCATTCCTTTACCCTTAGAGTGAACGTAATTTACCATCCTATTATTTCCCTTTGGTTCTTGGCTCTGGGGCCCTCAGGAAAGTTGCTAACACCTTGAAAGAACAGAACAGAAATGGACTGGGTCTGCTTGGGTGTTCCAGGGGCCTAGGGTAGCAAAGGGGAGACCAAGAAGCAAGCAGTGAGAAGTATCTGCCGATCCCAAACCTAGCTTCCCCCATGGTCCTAAGTTAGCTGTCACAAGGGAACAAATGAGAGGATGTGTCCAGAGATGGGTTTTATTCCTCTCCATCATGCGTTCCCATTCATTGTCTTGCTATTGTACAACTTCTAACTGTGGAGACAAGCAAACTCAGCACATAGAGCTAGGATGTGTAAAGACCTCCTTTGCTCATTCCCTTCAGTAAGGTTCAAAGTTATATTTCAATCGAGGTTCAAGATTTCAAAATAAGGCAGTCTTAACCAGAATTAAAACCTGTTCTGGGGGATGGGTTTCTGGCTGGGGTTCAATTTTCAGTTTGTTTCACAGGAGAGATCTCAGAGAAGCAAGAACTGCCTTCCAGGGACCAGGGTGGAAAGCCTCTGCTGGGAGTCGGGTACTAGTACAGGCACTCAGATTTTTAAGTGAAGATAAAATATACACCTATACACACCACACATACACAGGCTGTTCTGGTCTGTTCATAGGTTATCCTTTTGAAAGGGGAACTGGGCCCTCCACCAAGCTCCATTCACTGAGTAGCAAATAGCCCCATAAATTTAACTGGTCAAGATTATAAGTCTATCTATTGGAAAACCCAACCTTTCCAGTTTCACATCCAGTCATAGAACCACCCCTAGGAAGGCAGGTTCACCTTAAGCTCTGCTAAATGTATGGGTGGAATACCTAGTGCATTAATGAGAAAAGGAATTCTTCCTGCTTGGAATCCTGCCTCCCAGTGCAGTGCTTCTGGACCCGGCCACAGACATGTAGCTCTCTGTAATCTCTCCTTTTCTTCTTCGTATCCCTTTTCTAAATATGCTTTCTTTAATGCTTTGGGCTGCCCTAGCATCTTGTATTCTTTACTTTTCCTCTAAAGCGTCCTTTCCTCAGCCATGTGGCTGCCAGTCAGCCACATGTCTGACCTCCATGCAGGCTCTAAACCTGCCTGGCTTCATGGCTTTCTTTCCTTCTCCCCTCCATTCCCCTCCTCAAGGCAAGTAGTGAGATTACCAGCTCCCTGCCCTGAGGATTTTCCTTAAAATTCAAATACAATTGTCCTAAAAGCTTCCATTTGGGTTCATTCTTAAATTCTTTTATGAATGAGACTAAGAACCCTCTAGGGGACACTCTTTCCCCCATTTCACCACCTTTGGGCCCTGGCTCCCAATTGCTTGTGTAAGGCTTATGCTAGTTGTGGACAAACTACAACTTCAGATGCCAACAGCAGTCCCCAGCTAGTTGCCCCATGACATGGCTTTGCTGCCACCGTCTCTGACACCTCGAGAGCAGCATATTAAGGTGCCCCAATATTTCCCTTATTCCTACCAGGGCTCAGGTCTTCCACTCACTCTTCTGCAGATCGGTTTTTATCCCCTCCCTTCCTAGTCCATGGCTCTGGTTTGTGTCTGTGTGTCTTTATAAAGAAGCCAAACACACGCACATTTAAATGTCCTCGTATGGTGATTCCCTAGTCCTCTAAAAGGTCTGACAATCACTGATGGCACCTTCTTCTGACAGGATAGAAGAGGAAGGAGAAAAAAATAAAAAGGAATTTGAGCCTGGAAGAGAAGTCTCAGAAAAAGTAACCGAGGCCAGTGCAGGACTGAATTGCTGTGCTTTTAATGTGTAACACAAAGATAGATTGGCAAACATCCCCAAAGGAGCTGCTCTCCATGGGGTACAGGCAGTGCACGGGAAACAGCTGAAAACAGACTAGGAGCAGTGGTGAACTGGAGAGGGAACACTAGGTGGGGTCTCAGAGGACCTGGAAGGACCAAAAGGGAAAAGGAAGGGATTCCCAGGATAGAGAGGGGTTTCAGGGCTCGTGGGTGGGAACTTGGGGACTAGAATTGAAAGGGAGGACAGGAGGGAGTGGGATGTAGAGGATATTTCAGTACACCTGTGGCAAAGGACTCCCAGCTATTGACTGAGGGGCTCAAAGGTACTGGGTGGTCCTCAGGGTGGAAGGGGAGTGTGTCAACACAGAGACCTCAAGGTGGAGGGGGTCTCTAGGAGTAAACAGACTCAAAGACAGAGGGGCCTCTAGGGGCAAGTGGGACTGTCTTGGGGCCCAAAGGGGCTCTTGAGGTAAGTGGAGTGTTGGACATGAAATGGACATCTGGTACAAGGAGGTGTCTGGGGCATGAAGGAGCTCTGGGTCTCAGGAAGTGCCTAGGGCATGGAGGGATTCTTGGGTTACATAAGGTGTCTTGAGACTCAGGGAGACTGGTGGGGCAAGGGGGTGTCTGGGGTCGGTGGAGGCATCTGGAGCATGTGGTATTGTCTGGGGTCCGTGTGGGTGTATGGGGTTCATGGAAGAAGTGTCTGGGGTCCATGTAAGTGTCTGAGGTCCATGCAGGTGTCTGGGGTCCTAAGAGGTGTCTGGGGTCTGTGCATGCGTCCCCGGCACGGAGGCGTCTGGGCGGCAGGGCGGGTAAGGGCTGCGGCGGGTGGCGCTAAGCGGCCTTGCACTCGCTGTCGCGCCTCCGCTTCTTGCGCTCGGCGTGCTCCTGCATCTGGCGCGCCCAGGCCGCGGGGCCGCTGGTGCCCACCACGCAGCAGGCCAGCCTGCGGCCCGCGTTGCCGTTCTCCACGCTGGCCTGGTTGCCGCCGCGGCCCAGGTCGTCCTCGCCGGCGTGGACCACCACGGCGCGGCCCACGATGGAGTGCGGACCGGCCAGCGAGGCGGCCAGGACCGGGCGGTGCTTCCAGAGGCTGCCGTCACGCACCGCGAAGTTGCCGAAGTCGCCGGGATGCTGCGGGTGTGGCACGGACAGCGGGTTGTAGTGCGGCCCGGTGGAGTCGCAGCCCTGGCTAAGGTCCCCGAACTGGTGCACGTGGATGGCGTGGCTGGAGCCGTTGGGCTGGGCGGGGAAGCCCTCCAGGTCGAAGAAGGCCTCGAGCCTGGCGCCGGGCGCCTGCTGCCGGAAGAGGACCCAGCCGGTGACCCGCGGCTGCTCGGCGGCCAGCGAAGAAGACGGCTGCACCCTGCAGACCGCGTGCATCGCCTCCATGGACCCGGCCTCCGCCTCCCGCCGGCGTCCCAGCTCCTGCCAGATCTCCAGCACTTTGTTGTGCATGTCGCGGATCTGCTCGGCCAGGTCCGAATTGGGCAGTGCTAGGGCCGAGCTGGTCTCCCCCGAGCCCGGCAAGATCCAGGTGACAGATTCACGGGCCGCCAGCAGCAGGCCGCAGCACAACAAGGTTAGCATGGCTGGGGTAGGCCACCTGCGGGGCGCCACAACGCAGATGGAGGAAAACAAGCTTTAGTCACTTGAAATAGCCAGTCTCAAGAGACACAGCCAAACCCCACAGTTCCCAGGGAATTTCCTGGCCCATTCCACATTCATTTGTTTGGCCAATGCATCTCCTGCTGAGTGCCAGACAGGGGATGGGGGTGGGCCTGAAAGGGGGAGTTAGGGACTGTGTGTGCAAAAGTGATGAACCCCTACCTCCAGAAACTCACAGAGACTGAGTCACATACGATGTCTGGTCCCCCATCAGGACCATGTGGGAGACCTGCTGTCCTGCCTTTTGCCTATGCTGAACCCTCTCTTTTGAAGTGCTGCACCCTGTTTCCTACCACTCAGCCGACTTGGAACTTGCCGTGATACCAGCTCACTTTTGTTCACAAGTTCCTGTAATAGTCACCTAACTAGTCCCTAGGCTAGACCTATCCCTGTCTCGGTGTTTCTGCCTGTTCCTAGACTATACCCACTGGCATTCTCCAACTCTCCCCAGCACCTAGGTCTATACCCAGTAATAGGAGACATGATTATTGAATGAAGACAAAGGTGAGGGCAGGCAGATCACCAAGCCAACACAATTATAGGATTGAAGTTGGAGCCTTGTGCTGGGTAGACTGAGAGTGTCACGCCCATCACCCTAAGGGATCCTCTGTGTAGAGATCTGAAACATCACATGCAGCCCATAAATGTGTACAATTCCCATGTGTCAATTAAAAAAGTTCAAATCTGACATGAGTAAGAATGAGGGAAGGACTTTTGGGACTTTGGGAGACAGAGAGGACTGGGGAAGGGTGATAGGCACAGTCTAGAGGCAGACAGAAACAAAGACTCAGAGATAAACAGGCACAGACCGAACACTAGTTATGAGGCTGCTGCAGGAAACTGAGGCAGAAACCCTGGAAGCTCTTGCCAAGTGGAGGCAGCAAAGAGGAGGGTGTGGGTCTGGTAGCACTGGCAGGAGAGAAGGAGGAAGAAGAGTAGTTGCCAAAAGCTGAGGTGCCCCAAAGGGAACAAGTGGATTTGTGATGCCATGCCCAAGAGGAACTGAGCTAGGATGTGTGCAGTGCAGGGGGTGGCTTCACAGACATTTGGAAGCTCAGCTCTGGCACTTTGAAAGCCGCCAAGAGACTGGCTCAGCATTGACTATGTATCAGAATCTTTTTTTGCTTTGTTTTGTTTTTGTGTATATGCATGTGTATGCAGTGTTTGTGTATACATGCATGGGTACACATGTATGTGCATGTCCGTGAGTGAGACTGCAGGTAGGCTACCATCCTCACCTGATTTTTTACATGGGTCCTGGGGATCTGAACTCCCTGTCCTTGCTTTACCTGTTGAACCATCTCCCCATCCTGGATTCCAGTTTTTTAAACTAAGATTCCCAACCAGCCCCCACCCAAGAGAGTCTAATTCAGTGGGATTGATTCTTCTTTTTTTTTAAGTTCAAATATTCTGGTGCCCAGTCAAAGATTATGGAGTCAGGCACAAATTTCAACCACAGTTATAACACAGTCGATCTACTGTTATCTGTGGGTGATTGGTTCCAGAATGCCCCATGGGTTCCAAAATCCATGAGTGCTCAAGTCCCTTACAAAAGATAATAGGTCATATGTGCAGAACCTTCTCGGTTCCTCCTGTGCACTGTAAAACATGCCTGGATTACTTTCTGCATTTGCCAGTATCAATGCTATGTGACTGCCCTTGTTTATAGAGAATGATGACAAGAAGGGTCTGTAGGTGTTCAGTGCCAAAGCAGGGTGGGATTTTAGTTTGTTTCCCTTTGAATTGGTTGACTCCGTGGGTGCATAACCCAAGGCTGTGGAAGGTGACTGTACTGTGACTTCATAGTGCTCTGGACTCTCTTAGCCTCAGCGTCCTTATGCGTAAAGTAAAGCCAGTTCTGCTATGGAAGGATCAAAGGATATATATACTTTAAAATGTGAAAATATCATGTATGTATATATATATATATGATATTTTCACATTTTAAAACCTGCCTTAAAGGATTAATGATGCCTCTAAGCTAATTCAAGGGTAATCTGCACTTTCAGGGGCCTTCTACAACCCCTGGGTAGGTGCCATTTAACAAGCAAACTCTGGGATGGAGTATGGGTCCTTTCTACAGCTCTTACAGAAAGACAATTTAGTGCGGTAATTCTAAGAATGGCTTTGGGAACTCACCCCATGAATCTAAAACCTGATCCGCACTTACACTCTATAGCTGCCACTATTGTTTCTATGCACAGTAGTAGAGTGAATGCTGAGCTGCAAACTGGGTGGGCCAGTTTCCTCTTGAAGCCTCATTTTCCCCATCTGTAGTCATACCTGCTGTTGGGAGCTTGCTTACCAGGCTTAAAAGAGACAACTAGAATGACAGCGTCTGTTGAATACTTAGGCCAGACACTATTCAAAGCCCTTGGCATGTGTTAATCACACACACACACACACACACACACACACACACACACATACACACACACACAAGCACATACACAAACACACACACACACATACAAATAATAGTGTATGTATGTGTTTGTGGGTATATGCATACGTCTGTGGGTGTATGCATACCTCTGTGTGTGTGTGTGTGTGTGTGTGTGTGTGTGTGTGAAAGCCAGAAGCCAACATTAGATGTCTTTCTCACATTTCACCAAAAAAATATTTTAATTGAATTTTTGTGTATTTCATAACAAGCATCTTAATCATCTTTATACCCCCTCCCCCCTCAGTATCCTCCCATAACCCCCCACCCCCGGATTTCATGCATTCTGTCATTTATGTTAAGGTCTATGGAGTCAAGTTACTGTGTCCAGATGTCTCTCAGTACAAGTTCATCCACTGGGGTCTAGTCAGCCTGTCTGAAGTCACTCCCTTAAATAAGCTAAGCTCTCCCTCACCTAGCAGTAATCAGCTGCCAATAGCTCTTTGGCTAAAATTAGGGTCTGCTGCCCATTTCTACATTTCTATGCTGGGTTTTTGTCTACTTGAGTCTGTATGGATCTTGTGCATGCCGACACCATTGCCATAGATTCATAGGAGCAAGGTCCCAGGAGCCTGTAAGACTCTGTTTCCATATGGTCATGCACCTCCTCCCCTGGCTCTTACAATCTTTCTGTTCCCTCTTCTGCACACCTTGTTTCTTGAGAAAAGGTCTTTCACTGAATCTGGAGATCGGCTTCAGCTATACTAACTGACTGACTGCAGTAAGCCCCAGGGAACCTTCCTGTCGCTACCAACATGCCTGGCTTTTATGTCATTGCTGGGGATCAAATTCAGGTCCTTGTGCTTCCATGGCAAGCACTTACTTGACTAAACTGTCTCCCCAGCCTTCCCTGGCAAGCACCCTATAAGATGGGTGCTTTCTTTATTTGGATTCAAATGGACAGGAAGATGAGGCATAGAGGTGTTTCTCCCAAGGTCATATATTCACTGAGGAGCTGAGGGCAGGATTTGGAAATGAGTGATCAGCTCCAAGAACCCTACACATCTCTCAGCTAGGGCTCTCATGTACAGCAAGTTCCCAGTGAAGAGGTACCTCGCGGCTGTGCAAGGGAAGCTGCTGATGGAGCTGTCGGGAGATGCTGTGGAGGCTAAGGAGGGAGGAGGCACCAGCAAAGGCTTCAGAAGGAATAAGCCAGACAGATCTCAGGACACACAGCAAAAGGGACATCTAGGGATCCGCCTTTGACTTGGCTTGGTGGTGCTGCTGCTAAAGCTTCAAAGGCAGGGCAGGGAGGTAGGGAAACAGGCTTGTGCAACTTCAAGCTCTCCCTGGGCAGGGAGCCTCCACTGAGGCAGTCCTGTTACTCAGGAATGCTCTGTGTTTGCACTTTGGGAATTTTAGTTCAAAGCCCAGAGCAGAAACTGACTGGAGTGTGTCGGTGAGCTTTTCCAAGAATGAACATTGTAAGACTTTTTCTCTTAAAAAGAATAAAAGAGCATGTTTTCTCACCCCCAGGTAAACTTGGATTCCTTGTTTTTTAAGCTTCCTCTCCTTGGGTGTTTTCATCCTTCAGCTGGTTTGTAAAAGGAGCCCTTGCAGTCAGCTAGAGCTGACGGGGCTCTGAAACTTGCAACTTTCCAAGCAGGTGACTCTTGAGTGTACTTGCTCACCCTCCATAGTTCCAACACCCAAGGCACGCATATGAAATTTCTAGCACTAAAACCAGCCATTGCAGGTCCAAAGGAGAAAGCCTCTTTTTGCCTTCCTCCCCCTCTGCCCATGACCCCACTCCCAACATCGGGTGAAATTTCTAACAATAAAACCAGCCATTGCAGGTCCAAAGGAGAAAGCCTCTTTTTGCCTTCCTTCCCCTCTGCCCATGACCCCACTCCCAACATCGGGTGAAATTTCTAACAATAAAACCAGCCATTGCAGGTCCAAAGGAGAAAGCCTCTTTTTGCCTTCCTTCCCCCCTGCCCATGACGCTGCTCCCGACTTCAGAGCAACCAGGCCTATCACTCACTGAATTTCTCTCCCAACAAGATGACTGCGCCTTTTCCAACAATCGCCTGCTGCTCCAGCCCATCTTTAAACTTTTAGTAAGCACACTCCAAGAAGAACAAAATGATCCACAGTTTGGCACGCACCTACCTGTCCAGCTCTCCCAAGAGTGCTTTCCCTCCTGTGAAGTAGGGAGCAACACCCAGCAGTGGGCCACAGGAAGAGCCTGCAGGCTGCCTCCTCCCAAGCTGTCTGTCTGGCTGTTTGTGAGCAGCAGGGAGGCCAGCCCCGGGGAGTGGTCAGCATGAGGGAAGAAGGTCACTGGGCTGGCCAGAGAGGAAAAGCCAGCCTGACGTCCCACTTAGTATAATAAATCCTCCTCCTTCTCCTCCTCCTCCTCCTCCTCTTCTTCTTCCTCATCGTCCTCCTCCTTGTCCTCTTCAGACCTTGGCCCCACCTCCCTGTCCTTTTTCAGTTCCCCTTGCCAAGTATGCCTTTCATGACTTCCCTGGCTTGTGCAGACACAGTTAGTGACCTTCAGAACGCAGCAGGGGAACAGAAATGAGAGAGAAAATAGTTTGTTTGGAGAAGTACAATGGCCTCTTTATTGAGGGGCCTTTTCCTTTCCCCCAAGTCCTTCAGCTATGGACTTCTTTGGCTGGATGCTGGTGCATGCTTAAGACAGTCATGGGCACCTGGCAGCTGTGCACGAGGCTGTCTAGAGAGCTGTGTACCACACAAAGCATGTGGCAGGTGTGGTAGTGACTTCACCCTTGGGCTCAGAGCACAGCCTTGCCACGTCCTACCCCTGTGCCCCTGGACCCTGCCACCCCTCCCTTTGCCTTTCTCTCAGCATCTGTGAAATGGGCATGGGATGTAAATGGTACCCACCATCCCTGTGAAGAGCAAGAAAGAAAACCACAGTGAATCCAATGCCTGGCTCTCATAATTTCATTACTATGTCAAGTAACGACAGTAACAGTGACACGGTGACTGTTGTCACTGTTTTATTAAAGTGACAGATGAATTTGTTTACCTGTTTGAGATGGTCTTGTATCACAAGCTGGCATTATAATTCGCTATGTAACTGAGGATGACTTTGAACTCCTGATCATCCTGCCTCTACTTTCCAAGTTCTGGGATTACAGGCATGAGCCACTACACCCGTTTATAAATTGCTGGGAAATGATACCTAGGGCTTCACGCATGCTACACAATCACTCTACCAACTGAGCCCTAGCCTCAGCCCAGGAGTTTTTGATTTTTTTTAAAATCATTTTTATGCGTATGAGTGTTTTGCCTGCATGCAAGTACACCTATGTGTGCAATGCCCATGGAGGCCAGAAGAGGGCGTCAGATCCCCTGGAACTGGGATATGGAAGGTTGTTAGCCACCATGGGGGTACTGAGAACTGAACCTGGGTCTTCTGCAAGAGCAGCCAGTGCTCTTAACTGCTGAACCATCTCTCCAGCCCCAGGAGGAGCCTTTGCAAAGGGTGCATGGACTGGGGGAACCAAGAGCCTTACCCTCTGGGGTCTTTATTTCTTTTGCTGTCATGAACTCTTCTCTATCACAGCAGGTCTTTCCAGAAATAGAAGGCTGTCTTTCCCAGAAAAGCCCCCATGGGAAACGTCAGCTTGTGGCTCCCTGTCTGTCCCCCTGTGTTCCTTCAACAAATGGTGATTGGGTGCCTGCTCCCTGCCAGGCACATGCTGTGCACTAGAGACTCAAAGCTGTGGGCGTCCCTGTCCTTGGGGGTTCACACTCCGAGGAAGGAAACAGCAGTTTCAACAGTGCAGCTAGAGATGGAGGGACAGCCCCGTCCATACCCTTACCACCAGCCCTGGCAGCAGGAAAGCTTGTTAAATAACTAGACCTCTGGACTCCTTGCAGGGCTGAATGAACCTAATCCAGTCTTCTAGAATCACTGTGTTTTAAAACTGATGGTTCTGCTGGGTAACCAGATTTGGAGACCGTTGTGTATAAAAAGAACCCACAGGAAAGGCCCTTGTCTAGGGCAAATGTTCTGCAAGATGAGAAGGAGGCTTCTCATGACTTGGGGGCTCCAGCGACTCTGCCATGTATTGGTCTTTGAGGACAGATAGCTCAGGCCAGGCCAGGTCAGTCTTGTAGCTCTGCATTCTGCTGCTGGGTGTAGCTGTCCTTACTGAAGAGTTTACAGAATGCCAGATACCACCTACCACCCACAACCATCCTACCACATTCCAACTGCTCAATGTGACTCTCATTCATTTTTTAAAATTTAAAACTTTTTAAAAATTTTTACAAAAACTTTATTGAGAATTTCATACATGCATATAAGGTGTTTTGATCAAATACATGCCCAATCCCTTCTTCCAACTTCTCTCATATCATCCCATCACTTTTTTTTATGATAACTTCATGTACTCTTTCTTCTTCTTTAATTTTTTATGGGGCTTTTGGCTGCTCTAACATTTTGCTAAAAGGCCCAAGGACATTTTGACTTTTAGCCAAGAAACTGGGTACACTTCTTTGGGGTCTTTTTACCCTAACTGCCTAGCCAACTCATACCTCCTATTCTTATCACACCATCTTCTGAAGGGGTTACCCAAATTCCAACAGGGAATAGGGATGCCAACTGCTCTGGCTTCTTCCATGCTGAACAGGGGTGCAGGGTGAGGCAATTGGGGAATCCTTTCAATGGGTCTATCTAAAAGACTCCCAAATTGCATAACTCTAACCTGCAGAGGGAAAAGAAAGTCCTTGACTGGTGAATAGGAGATGTGAAAGAGAAGTAAAGGCAAGAGTAATTAGCATTACAAGTTCCAG